CTATCTTGGGATTAAACACAGTCAAAGGATTTCAAAACCGAGCGCTTACAGAGGGTAGAGTGCTTTTATGAGAGCTTTGAACGTCTGGTCTCTGACACTGAACTGAGCATATCATCTCCCAACTCACTTCACAGCCAACTACAACACACATACAGACATTCATTCTTTTTCTCTTTGTTGTTTCTTTCCTGACAACATCTCTCTTGAACCTTCCCACATGGTAACATTCATTCATGTACAGTATATCCATCACCAGCAACCCCCTCTGCATATTATCCATAAAATGTATCCATTACAAAATCTTTCTCAAAGCTTTCTCAGCGGGCTTTAACATTTGTACAACCTTTGACACCCTCGATCCTTAGAATCTCTATTTGGATTTTTAAAAAAACTTCTAGACTCACACACACACACGCACACACACACACCCGGATCACCTTCCGACGACCTGTATGTGGTACAAAAATGTCCTTCCTTCCCACAAAAAACATTGCCAGTGCATATAGTCCAAGCAGCAATGACGTTTCCTATCGCAACATAATCTGGAAAACAAAGTAATATTATATAATGGTAAGTTGTCTGAGACAGGGTTGCACAGACACACACACAAAATACTTCCTCAGGAAGGCTGACAAAGAAGAATCACTCTCCAAAACAAGTCACAGAGTGTTGTCAGATAAATATAAGATAAGATAAATGCTAAAAACTGGCCACCTGGCTTCTTCTAAAGGTAATCCTGCGTCCAACTCTAACAATCTTTAATGTCTGATCATTCTAAAAGTGAAGTCTTTTCCATTTACAATATTTGTTCAGATTTTATCTCCCATTATTGAAAAAAAGGCACAGTTTGGAAATCGGAATTGTTGTTGGGCTCTTTTCTTGCATGTGTCAGCTCATGCAGGCACAGGAATTTGTCGTTGAATAGAACTTTTTGAATGTGGTATGTCCCACTTTGCACAATGGGCAGTGCAGCTGGGTGTATACATTGCTTTATTATGCCTTCCAAACATGCTGAGAATTTCTAAAATGTAAGTGGTTTGACTGCTGTCATGACATTTCTGGTAAACATACACTATATATATATATATATATTAGATCTTTGGCACATCAGCCACAATCCAAACTTATTATTTTACACTTCATAGTAATTGTAGTACATGCTAAAATTGATTACTAATTTGGTTAACAATTAGGTTTGTAGAAACTAACCACTTAAGAACCACTTACATGCTTAAATACCAGGGTTGATTATAATACCTCAGAAGTTGTTGGTGGAAAAAAGTGTCACAAAATTCAAGGTCCTGAATTGTTATGTTTTAACTGATTACCGTATGTGCAGCTTGCACCACACCGCCCCCATAAAACTCACTCCCATCCCAGCCTCTCTCGCTCTGTTCTTCATCTCTTTCTTAAATAATGTCCTTTGTCTGTCTGTCCGTGTGTGTGTGTG